TGTGGATCTCCATGAGTTCAAGGTCAGCCTAGTCTACAGATTGAGTTCCAGGACAACCAGGACTGTTACACAGAGAAACCTTGTCTTGAAAAACCAAAAAGAAAAATCATTTATGATATCATATGTAGCATGAATGATTAAAAACCCAGAGACCAATGTTGGGGTTCAATCTGAAGATCAGAAAAGCAAAGCAACCAGCCACCTGCTCTACCTCAAAATAAAATGGCGATCCTGCCTCTAGGAATCTCACAATGAGACTGCTTCCGAGAGCTGTTTCCTCCCATCATATATTCCTCTCTAGGGATATGGTTAAAGGCATGCACCTCTACCACCCAGCTTCTATGGCAAACTAGTGTGGCTACTGGGATTAAAGGTGTGTGCCACCTCTGTCTGGTCTGTAAGCCTGACCAGTGTGGCTCTTTTACTCTCTGATCTTTAGGCAAGCTTTATTTATTAAAATACAAATGAAATATCACTATAATCATATAAAATGTTAGTGTTAAGTCAGGCAGTGGTGGCGCATGACTTTAATCCCAGCACTCGGGAGGCAGTGGCAGGCGGATCTCTGTGAGTTCGAGGCCAGCCTGGTCTACAAGAGCTAGTTCCAGGACAGGAACCAAAAGCTATGGAGAAACCCTGTCTTGGAAAAAAAAAAGAAAGAAAAAAAAATGTTAGTGTTATTCCACTAATAAATACATAATATTTTTCTTTTCTAATTTTAATATGGCAAATATGAATAGATGGTCACCCTAAGAATCAAGCTCTTTGGAGTCTTCAATAATTTTTAAATTTTAAAAGATGCGTTTAAGCCTCAGAGATTGAGAAAATAACTTTTCTGTAAAAATGAAACATAATTTTATATGTGGTAGTGTAAACACATGTAAGATGAGTTGGCTTGTTTTGTTTTTAATTTCTTCATTATGGTAATTTTGATTATAAAGCAAGAAACTTCCTGTATTTAGTAAATCTCTGAAACCTTTGAGCCTGGTACTTAGGGTCATTGACATTTGCTTAGCTTTGCAGTTTATTATTTTAGTTATGAAAATCCCTTTTACTTAGTGCTTTAAAATGGTAGATAGTACATCTTTAATCAGTTGTATAAACACATACCCATCTGTTCATTGACAGACAATACTTTGGCCAAAACTTATGTTAGTAAGTATACTTCTGGAATTGGAACTCTTTATCTTAAACAATTTAAGTTTTATATAACTTTTTGTCTTCATAATTGATCAAGTTCTTTGGTCTATTCTATATATTAGGTTTAAAAATAGATTTTTGTGATTAAATGTACTGACTCAGTACTAATAAGTTATAAGACTTTAATTTTGAAATTAATGCTTCCATTAGAAATGGTACTGATGGTAGATGATGGGTATACTGATGTTGACACTATTTACTCAAATGCTTATTGTTTTTATTAATAAATTAATTTGTGAATTATGATTCTTCAGTTTTAAATAAAGAAAATAAAACAAATGGAGCAGCCATTTTGAAATCATCTGTGGTGCTATCCACATTTTCTTGAGTTTCTACATTGGGAAAATTTGCTTGGAGTTCATTCAGATTATAGTAGAATGTCAATTCTACTAAAAAATTGACATACTATAGTAGTTTTAATCTGTTCATTTAATACACAGATATTGATCTGCAAAATGTGTGGTTGGATTTAACTGTGAAGCTCTTCTGTTCTCAATATTTGTTCCACGTTGTAGAAAATAAACCTTCTATGTGTTAATATGTGGACTCTTTTTCGTTAGTCTGCTCCAACTGTGATTATTATCAACTAATTAGTTGTTTAGTTTTGCAGATGTTTAAAAATAGAGAGTAAACATTTAGACACTTCCATGGGACTAATTTTTGATCTGTGGGATATTAATGGTTATATTTCTTTTGTTTGTTTGTTTTGTTTTTGGTTTTTCGAGACAGGGTTTCTCTGTGGCTTTGGAGCCTGTCCTGGAACTAGCTCTGTAGACCAGGATGGTCTCGAACTCACAGAGATCCGCCTGTCTCTGCCTCCCGAGTGCTGGGATTAAAGGCGTGCGCCACCATCACCCGGCTTAATGGTTATATTTTACATAACTTTAAAGTTCATTATTCTAAATTCATTCGATTATATTTTGTAAAAGTATCATCTACAATGGATTGGGGAAAAAAACCAGAAGGCTGGTTCTTTTACTCGGAAAATGTTAAAAGTAGTATCCTGGGTTAGTGTAAAACTGTACCGTTAAGTGATCTTCAGGTACTATCTAAAAGTTTCTATTTAGAGAGATGAAAGCAGAACTCCCATGAGATATAAAAATATAAGTAGCTGTGTGCTCAACCATAGTGAATGAATGTAAGGTGCATATAGCATATCATAGATTTTGCTGCTATGTAATTGTTACATAGCTGATATGGAATAAAATGCTTCCAGATATACTTGTCAAAGAGGAGGCATGACAGTTATTTAACAGCTCTTGCATTGGCAATTTTCTGTAAACTAACGTATTTATTTAGGTATGTTTCCAATTTAAGTGACACTACTTGATCCAGATGAATGAAGTGTGGTGCGGTGATGGCAGGCTTGGGTAGAGAAAACAAGTATCTGTTAATTTAAAAAGAAAACAGTCCCAATTTTCTCCCCAGCAATTTTGTCTACTTCCCTTAGCCAAGAGGATAACTATATGTTTTTCCTTGGGTTCCCCTTCTTACTTAGCTTCTTTAGATTCACCTATTGTAGACTCCGTGACCCTTATTTATGGCTAGAAACCAATTATGGGTGAGTACATCCCATGTTCATCTTTTTGGGTCTGGGATACCTCACTCAGGATAGTGTTTTCTATTTCCATCCATTTGCATGCAAAATTCGAGAAGTCATTGTTTTTTACCGCAGCGTAGTACTCTAATGTGTAGATATTCCATTCTTTCTTCGACTGTGACTGAAAAAGCATGGGATAAAACTGGACTCTCTGAACATGGCGAACAATGAGGGCTGATGAGATGCAAAGGAAAATGGCACGGGGTTTTGATCCTATGTAATGTGATGGCTTTGTGGGAGCCTAGCCAGTTTGGATGTTCACCTTCCTAGATATGGACAGAGGGGGGAGGTCCTAGGTCTTACCACAGGGCAGAAAACACTGACTGCTCTTTGGACTGGAGAGGGAGGGGGAAAGGAGTGGGGGGAGGGGGAGAAGGGTGGGAGGAGGGGGAGGGAAATGGGAGGCTGGGAGGAGGTGGAAACTTGTTTTTTTTTCTCCTTTTTTCAATAAAAAAAAGAAGCACAAAAAAAAGAAAGAAAAAAAGAAAACAGTCTTTCCTAATGGGTATCCCCTCTCTTTATTAATATACATGTGGTAGGGTGTTCGGGGGTTGCAGAGGACAACTTGCAGTAATTAGTTCTCTCTTCAGCATATGGGTTCCAGGGACCAAACTCAAATATTGAAAGCAACCCCTGTTACCTGCTCTTTCAACTCAGCAGCCCATAATTCCTACAAACTGTATCCATATCTATTTTTATAATTAAAGTGCTGTATATCCTAGCTTTTATGGATCATCATTTGAGTTTAAAGAAATATTATTTAAGCTCATTTGGTAAACTTACACTGTATTTTCCACATTTTTTTATTGAGATATTTTTGTCATCATTTTTTTTTACCTCGCAGGTATGCATTGCTTTTGATTATTCTTTGTTATAAAATAAAATACCTAACAACCTCTAAAACATTAATATTTATGGTGGTAGCATTTCTTTGGTTTTTTTATTAAGGCAATGCAATCTTAAAATGAAATTTCTGCCTCAAATCTCTATTTCATTTTGTTATTAATTTCTTGAGCCACAAACTTCTCTAAGTCCAGGAAAATGCTAAATACTTATAAAATTTTCCTTTTTAAACTAGTAAATATACAGAGTTTGAGTTGTTGAATTAAGGGGGATGTAAACAAATATACATTAGCTAAATATACATTATAGCATAGCTACATATTTACCTATTTTATAACAAAACGTAAGGGAAAATGTATAATTAGTGTGCAGGGATAAAGAATGCCTTCAACTTTAGAGGGAATAGTAGTGGGGTTCTAGGAAAGGATTTGAAAGGGAAGCAATGAGGGGGTAAACCTGATCCAAACACATTATATACATGTGAAAATTGTAGACAATACTTAACAACTTATAAAAGGAGTTTCCCCCAAGGAGCATACCAATTGTCTATTCAATATCAGATGGTCAGACCTGAAAACATTTGTACAAGGAACATCATATGAACTGAGGTTATATTTTAAAAAGAAATGTGTGTGTGTGTGTGTGTGTGTGTGTTTGCGCGCGCGCGCGCGCACGCGCTAACAATAAGAAAAGAAGCCATGAATTTAAGAGAGCAAGGTGGGGTATATAGGAGTGTTTGGATGGAGGAAGGGGAAAGTAGAATTGATGTAATTGTATTATAATCTCAAATAAATGAAAAGTGAATGATTTTATTCCATCTCTTATGTTTTTGAGACATGCATTCTTTTATTATCTTCTGTCAACTATTATAGTTTCTAATTCTTCTCTATGTGACTTAGTACAGTTTGAACAACCTTACCAAACAAATGATGTAATAAGAGCCAGAGGTTAGGGAGGATTACTATGAAACAGTATTTTCTGGATATGATAAGTCCGGTCCACTTATAAACTCATAGGAATTATGGTTGTCAGTATCAGACTTGCACAGTATCGAGCCAATAAAAATTCCACATGGATATGTTTGAGGTGGGTGAGTTTTGTTTAATAAGTTGCTTATATTCTCATAGTTGGCCCTAAACCCATGCACGTGCTAGAAACACTAATTGAATTAAGTTCAATATAAAAAGAGAACATGACATTGGGAGATAAGATGGGAGTGATATTTATTGTGGAACGCATAGTGGGTGAATATAATCAGAATTCATTGTATGAAATTCACAGGAATATATAAGAAAATATATTTAAAGTGATAAACTGGTTTGAACTGAAATTCACTTAAATATATTTCTTCTGTTAGGTTTTTCTTGTTAGAAAGAAGACCGGTCCTGATGCTGGGCAGCTCTATGCAATGAAGGTGTTAAGAAAAGCTTGCTTAAAAGGTATCAAATTAAAAAGTTTAATTAGAATATAATTTGGCAAAACTTGTTTTATGAAATGCACCATATGTTGCTTGTAAAGGGAATGCTTAGAGTTGCTTTTTTTTTTTTTTTTTTGGTTTTTCAAGACAGTGTTTCTCTGTGGCTTTGGAGCCTGTCTTGGAACTAGTAGAGTTGCTTTTTAGCATTGTTAATTATTACAGTTTCCTTGTTATCAACTGATACTTCTGGGGACCTCTGTTGTCATATAACTTAATTTTCTGAATGTGTATCTGAATAAAAGTTTAATAGCAGAAAATGGGACATATTTCATTTAATTCAGTCTAAACTTCAGCGTTTTAAAAATCTTAGTTTTTTCTTTCAACTTTTTTTTTTAATGTTTTGTCTGGGTGGTGCACATTTAGAAAGCACAACTACTCCATACATTTATATGCACTGTCTTCTAGACTTATAAAATTAATGCAGATCCTGACATGATAACACAAACCTGTAATCCTAGCTCTACAGAGGTGGAGTTCAAAATCATCCTCCACTGTATAACATATTCAAGACCAGCATGGACTTCCTGAAACCCAGTGAAAGAGAAAAAGGCGGGCGAGGGGGTGTCAGGGTAGAAGATGAAGTTTACTACTAATTTCAATTTTATTTCACATGAAAACTTAAATACATATTAGCCAAATATGCTACTTTAGATCTCTAGATCTAAACAAAATATTCTGGTTTCTGAAAATGGTTTTTATAATCTAGGACTACACAGACTTTATTGCATTGGTTACTTATGAAATTATTCATGTATTTATATTTTGGTTAGTAAATGGCAGGTCTTTACTGAAATTATGAACGAGTATAATATTTCAATCTTTGTATAATTTTAGTTCGAGACCGTGTTCGCACAAAGATGGAGAGGGATATTCTTGTGGAAGTAAATCATCCATTTATCGTCAAACTACACTATGGTATGCAACCTTTTTTTAAATTATGGAATTAGAGTAGTACAATTATTTTCAGATAGTATAACAAGAAATCAAGAAATAAATACTTTAAAGTTAATTAATGTATTCTGCAATATAAAATATGAAACATGTTATCAATATCTAGCTTTTAGTTGAATTTTATTTTCTTAAGTTGATATACTCAATTATGTTACATGATAATGTCTTCCAAAATCTCATCAAGTATCACAGAGGAGGTCATGAAGTCTCACCCCAAATTGAACTATTGGCAATTGATGGCTATGGGTAAAGAGTCAGCGTTCTTCAGCTATGCAGTATCAAAGACACTACCCATGTTTCAGTAGATGACTCTATACGCATGCACATACTGGCTGAACTCTTAAAAATGAACATGTGAAATTGGGAGACAGTAGTATTGGGTGGCTATGCGAGGAAGTGGAGAGAAGAAAATGGGCATAAGTTTGTGTATATGTATATATGAAAACACATTTTACACACACACACACACACACACACACACACACACACACACACATAAATTCCCAAGCAATGAAAAATGAAAATGTCTTCAACTTGTTTGACCAGTAGTATTTTTAGATGAGATGAGACAGTACCTCCATGATCATAGACTACTATGATAATTTATGTAAATCATTTTGATGTTTACTTACAAGGACAATATTATTTTTATTTTCCAGTTCTTATTAAGGCTGTGTGGTTATATATTAGGTAGTTTGAACTGTTTTGTAATACAATGGAGGAGCTGAGAGTAGTAAGAAATAGCAGAAATAATGGAAGGATAAGTTTTGGAATCAGACATTTATGAATTTCAGTCATGTCTCCTTTGTTAATATATGAAAGAGATTGTAGATATGATTTTCTTGGGGATCAAAATAAAACTTTAGTTTGATGTAGTTTATGATACCATTTCATTTTGTGCATTTAAAATGTAGCACATATTGATTTTATTCTTAGGGCAGATTTTGAGAGAACTCATTTTAAATATTTAACAAGATAATTCAAACCTTATAAGAAATTCTGACCACTTTAACTCTTTTTTTAAATGTAATAGAATAAAAACGGCAATACTATAGAATGTCTTTGAGTCTTTTACTTACCATGAGATTAATAGTAAACCCTTATTGTGCCAAAATACTGTATTATATGAAGTGGGCTACTGAAATAATCCCTAATTTCTAGTAATATACAGGGAATTAAGCTGTACAAATGAAAGTGAAAAAATGCAAAAGAGGCATGAAGTACAATTAAATATGAAAAGTATTAATATAATTTTGATGGAGATTAAAGATGCTATAGGGAAGTGTGCAACGGTTTAGAGGAGGTGACTTCTTTGAGCTTTGTAGAATGCAATAGATATGATTGGGTGACAAATTTCAGGCAACTGTACCAGAACAAGAAACTTCATTAACAGCAAAATTTTAGTAGTAGATTTTGTAAAGCCACATGTAACACTGAACATGTTCTGTAAAGGAATTTATAGCAATTTGAACACTCAATTAAATAGTGGATTTAATTTTGATATTATCTAACAATAGACCATTTAAATATATAATTATTTTATAATGTTGATAAATTGTAAACATGTTAATATAAAAGTCTGGTAAAATTTTCAGTCTTTAAGGTTAGTCTGCTACAACATTATTATTTCTAATTAGCCTTTCAGACTGAGGGAAAGCTGTATTTAATCTTGGATTTCCTCAGAGGAGGAGATGTCTTCAGAAGATTATCCAAAGAGGTGAGAATTTCTTTACAAATTTGTTAATAGATTTTATTCTAACAAAGATAAAAAGTCCTATAATTTTTCTATATAAATTTGAAATCATAAGCTTTTTATCACTCTATATAGTATTTAGTGATATGTCAGATAATACTTTCTGTGTGTGCTTTTAGATGATCTCAGTGTTCTTTTTATTCTTCTCTGAGATGATAGGGCATTATGAATAACTGAGTGAACTAGATAGGAGCAAGTCTAGGACTTTGGTTACTCGAGCTACCTAAATGCCTCTTGTGTGGTGTTTAGTTTATTCAGAAGTTGATTTATTGAGGTATAATTGACATACAATAAATAGTACAACAAATTTGATATCTTTTGCCTTTTCATGTAAATGTGAAATCATTATTAAAATAACGTTATTACCAAAGGGGCTTATGTGTTTTTTCCACCCTACATCTACTGAATCTGCTGTCTGTCACTGTTTGTGTTTTCTAAGAGATTATAGAAACAAGATCATATTACACACACACACACGCACACACACACACACACACATATTCTTTTTATCTTGTTTAAATCATTATAATTATTTTGGCTTATCCATGTTGTATGTGTTAGCTCATTCACGTTTTTGGTGAGTAGTACCCATTTAATGGATGTACCATGTTTTGTTTATTTACTTGATGAATGTTTGTGTTATTGCAGTTTTTGGATATTACCAGTTAAGCTGCTGTAAACATTCATGTACAAATGATTGTATTGACATAATGTTTTCATTTCTCATGAATAAATATCTAGGAGTTTGATAGCTGGGTCACATGGTAGGTGTTTTTTAACTTTAAAGTCACTGCCAAACTGTTTTCCAAAGTGCTTGTATAATTTTTACACTCCAAACAGCAGCATACAAGAATTTCAGTTGCTTCACATCCTTGCCAACAGTTGGTATGATCAGTCTTTTTTTTTTCTTTTAAAACATTTTGAACGTCTGTTAATTATATAGTATTACCTAATTGTGCTTATCAATTTCATCACCTTAAATACTAAAGATGTTGGGCATCTTTTCCGACATTTATTTGCTGTCTATCTTCTTTGATAAAATGTTTAAACATTTTCCCATTTTCAAGTTAATTATTTGTTTTCTTCTGGAGGTTCCTAGTTTACATGTATGCTACATGTATGCTATTTTAAAATATTTTCTTCTGGATTTTAGGTTGTTTTTTTTTTAATCTCATATCTTTTGAAAGCAGAATTTCTTCATTTTGGTGAAGTCTGGTTTGTAATTTGCCCATTAAATTAATGTTTTTTAATTACCCCACTTAAGAAATGTTTATCTAATTCTAGGTAAAAATTTTTCCTGTGTATTTTAGAGTATTCTGTAGTTTATATTTGTATCCTTAATATTTTTTCAATGAATTACCTTGTAATTTCATTTAAAATCAGATTTTCATATGTGTGAAGGCCTATCTCTGGATACTATGTTCTGTTCAGTGACTTATTTTTCTGTCTTCATGACCATACTCCTCTGTCTTGATTAACTGAATCTTTATAGTATATCTTGAAGTCAGTGATTACAATCCATGAGGTTTGCTTTTCTTTTGCAAATTTTTTAGGCTCTTGTAGGTCATTTGCATTTCTTTATTTTAAAGTCACCCTTTCACTTTCTTATAAGAAAGCCTACTTAGATTTTTGGTTGGTATTTTCATTCAGCCTGTAATTCAGTTTGCACAAAATGGACATTAAAAAATACTGACTTTTCTATAAACATGTTTTTTTTTTCTGCTCCAAATCATGCCTAATTTCAGGAATGATTATTTTCAGCATATAGGTCTTGCACATCTTTTGTCAGATTTATCTTTTAGTGCATTCTGTTTTAATGATGCAAGAATTGTTCTTTTAATTTTAGTATCACTGGGAAAAACAATAGAGTTTTTCCTATATTGAGCTTGAATCTCACAATCTAGCAGAATTAACATATATTAGCTGCTTTTTGTGTAGATTCAAAAAAAAATGTTATACTAATTACTTTTGGGAAGATGCTTTACTTCTTTCCGCTTTGGATATCATGTATTTCTTTATTCATAACCTTGTTAGCACTGGCTTGAATTTCATTCTGATGTTGAATAAATTTGACGGGAAACAGACATTCTTGTCTTAATAATTCAAAACAGATTGAAACTAATTTCACTTTAAAACTTAAACCTGTATGTGAACTTTATTAGCTTGAGTTACTATCTCTTATTAAGTTGTGAAGAAGTGTTGCAATAGATGATACATATTGTCACATGCATTTAATGGAGACTTTTTTTCTGCTTAATTTCTGATATGTTCAATTAAATGAAACACATTAATGTGAAATTAAATGAAAGTGAAGTGGTAACCTAACCTTGCATTTGTGAAGGAATACCCCATAGACATCAAGTATAATTATTTTAAAAATTATTGGATGATTTGTGCTAAATGTTTGTGTTTATTTTCGTTTTAATTTTTTCCCTTCTGTTTTTATTGTATGTGTATGGGTGTTTTTTCCTGAATGTATGTCTGGGCAACACAGTCAGGTAGTGCCAATAAAGGCTGGAAGAAGGTTTCAGTTTCCTCTGGACCTGTAGTTACAGATGGTTGTGAACTGCCCCGGGGATGCTGGGAACTGAACATGACACTTGAAAGAGCAGCCCAGTGTTCTTAACTGCTCAGCCATCCCTCTATTCCTGCAATTATTTTCATAAGGAATATTTATTTTCTTGTTTTGTGTTTTCTTCATTCGTTTGTTGTGTCAAGGTTATTCTTGATTCCTAAGTTGAATAGATATATTTCAACTTTCAGTAGAACTTATTTAGATTCAATATTAATTGTTTTAATGATTGGTAGAATTTATGTGTGAAGGCAACTTGGCCTGGTAAGGTGTTTGACTAAAAGAAGTTCTTTTTAGTAAGGTGTTTAAACAAAAAGTCAATTTATATAATATATTTAAGATTATTGTTTCTTTTTGATGAAGTTTGTCTACTACCTTATTTCTTTCAATGCATGTATTAGTTCCATCAAATTTGTAGCTCTAGGTTTTATGCTCATTATTTTGTTGTTGCCCTTGTATTAAAATGCCATGACCAAGAGGAACTTCTAGTAGGAAGAGGTTTTTTTGTTTGTTTGTTTGTTTAGCTTGCAGTTCCAGAGCAAGAGGCCATAATCTCAGGGGAGACATGACAGCAGGGTAGAAAGCTAATGGATTTTATCTCACTACCACTTAAGAAGCAGGCAGAATGATTTGGAAGTGGAACAAGACTGTAAATGCTCAAAGTCTACCCTCAGTGATATACTTTGTTCAGCAATATTTCTTGTCCTAAATGGTTCATAACCTCTTCAAATGGTGCCAACAGCTGGATACTCAGTGACAAATACACGAGCCTGTATGAGACATTTCTCATTCAAGCCACCACAACTGTTCATTATATTCCATTATTATCTTTTCTCATAGGTGTAGAATCCTTATTTATGGATGAATCGCAATCCTGATGGTGGTAGTTTGTCTTTTCTTCCTTGGCATTGCTAGTGGTTTATCGGTTTTATTTTTCTTTTTATGATACAAGCTTTTAACTTTATTGATTTTTTGTTATATTTCTATTTTTCTTTTTTAATCTTTATTACTATTTTCTAGTTACTAGCTTTTTCTAGTTTCTAGATAGAAGCAGATTACTGATCTGATGCCTTTCTTCTTTTCTAATGCAATCATTTAGTGTACAAATTCTTGAAGTACCGTTTTAACTTTGTTCCTGTTATTTTGCAATGTGGCACATTTGCTTTGTTTAATGTACTTCCTAGTTTCCTTTATATGACTCATTGCTTATTTGAGAACATGTTATTTAATTTATACATATTTATTTATTTTTCCAGATATCTTTCTAATATTGATTTATAACCCAATATTACTGTAGTCATAGAGGCTACTTTTCATGACCTGAATCTTCTTAAATTGTTTATATTTATTACATTCTTTAGAACATGATATATGTTTGTCAATGTTCCATGTGCATATAAGGAAAATGTGTACTCTCTTGTGGGCTGGTGGAAGGGTCATCAAATGGGTGTTAGATCAGGTTTGTTAATAGTGGTTGCTTTAGGAATCATGAATTTGTTCCATTATTATACTGGTTTTTATATTTTGTAAACACATGAAATTCTTTTATTATAGTTATAGATCTGTATATTTATTGCCTTTCTACCAGAGTTTAAAAAGAACTTTTTAATGGTGTATTCTTTCTTGATAAGGAAATGGTGTCACTATTAAATGACTTACTTTAATGCATTAATACTAGTTTTATGACTCTTAAGATAGCAATATTAGCTCAGTATACCTTCTTCTGTGTCTTCATTTTAAACTAATTATTCTTTTACTTGTAGCAATTAAGTACATATGACATCCTTGACTTTTATCCACTTTGAAAATATGTTATTTTTAAAGTATTGTATTAGACTTATTGTATTTAATATGTAATTTTATATTTAAATCTACCATTTTATTAGATTTTAAGTACCATTTATTCCTGGTATATTTTCCTCTTTCATGGATGCATTTTAATTTCATTTTTTAGTTCTACCGCTAGCTTGGCAGTATTAACTAACCTTTTGTTATTTTGTAGTTTTATTAGGTTTTATAATGTGAATATTTAAGTTGGGATCAAGGATATACAGTCTTTAAACCAGTTGCTTTTCTTTTTTGTTTTAAAAAATAATTCATTTATTATTTTATGTACATTGGTGTTTTGCCTCTGTCTATATGAGTGTGTCAGATCTTGGGAGTTACAGTTAGGTGTGAGCTGCCATGTACATGCTGGGAATTTAACCTGGGTCCTGTGGGAGAACAGTAAGTACTCTTAACCATGAGTTATCTCTCTAGCCCTCAGTTACTTTTTATAGGTTTTATAGAAACAAAGACACACACATTTAAGTATTTCCTGTGACTTCTTTCATAGCTCAGTGACAACATACAAAGTTTTTTCCTTCCTTCCTTCCTTCCTTCCTTCCTTCCTTCCTTCCTTCCTTCCTTTATTAAAGCATGGTATATTATTGTATAGCCCAGATTGGATGTCAACCCAAATCTTCCATCATCAGCCTTCAACATGTTGGGATTATAGGTATGCACCAGCACAGATATGACTTATTTGTATTGGATGGTGGTAGAAACTATGAATGTAGTTTTCTTATACGCTAAATATTTTGTCATTCTTATCATTTAGGATCTTGCTTTTAATCTTTAGTGCTGGAGAATCAAACATTGAGCCTCTCATATGGTAGTGATCCACTCTACACTTTATCTGTACCCCCAACTCTAGGTCCCTCATTTAAATTTTTTCACTCAAGACAGCATTTAGTATGGGGTTAATTTTCCTCACTATTCAAACAACGACCTTTTTTAATTACTCTAACTAACATTCTTGAAATTGCAATGATGTATTTATTATCTTGATTTCCAAACGAGGCATGTCTTTCATCATCTTGAGCTTAGTGTTTTCTTTTAATCCTTTAATACTCTGTTTTCCCTTGATGTCAGTTCCCTTTGATTCATGATTCGGAATTTCTTGTTTCTGGGCAATCTTTGTGAAAGTTAAGGTATTCGAAGATGAGTACTTTTGAAATGCTTCCAGAAATACACTGATACTTGCTGGGAAATGTAGAACTTGTTTCATCTTTTCATGTCTTTTTTTAAAATTTGTTACAATGACCCTGAACATCATTTATTCAGTATTAATTTTGATCTACTACTAAAGCTAAGACCTTCTTTTTTCTGATTCTTTGTGTGTGATGTTTTCTGCTCTACCTAAATATAACAGGAACTATCACTTGCCCAATGTGAGTTGCATGGATTGTTTTGTATAGCCCTTAGTTCTTTTTCTGGTTCGGCATAGTGTCCTCATTTGCACATACTTTGTGCATCCCCAGCTGTATG